CTTACCCCCCGACCCTTAACCCCCACCCCATCACCGTACCCCCCTGACTCTTGCCCCACCCACCTCCATCCCCCTTACCGAGTGGTTGACCCCCCACATGAAGACGCTGACCAGGGGGCTCCCGGCCCTGAAAACCGACACCTTCTGCGACACGAAATGCTTCTTCTTGGTCTTGGTCTTGGAGGCGGAAGAGCTGAGGGCGGCCGGGTGGTGGGCACCGGAGCCCGCGGGAGCATGGGAATGGGCACGGGATTGGGATTGGGATTGGGAATAGGCCGATCCGGAAGTACCCGAGGCCATAGCAGCAGGACCAAGGGGACAGAGCGACACAAGATCCGGGAAGCGGGGCCTAAGGACTCACCTGGAGCCTCCCGGGGCCCGACAGGTATCGGTCACGTGATTCTCAGCCCCACCCCCGTCAGGCCGTCCCCATGGAGACATCCCAGGTAACGGATCACGTGGTTCTCAGCCCCGCCCCCGCCAGGCCGCCCCCACGGAGACACACCCAGGTGGATGGGTCACGTGATACCCCGGGACCCGCCCTCTCAGTCCGTCCCCAGGGAGACAACCCAGGTAAAAGGGTCACGTGATACGCCAGTACCCGCCCCATCGAGACGCACCTGGTAAAGGGGTCACATGATACTCCGGTACCAGCCCTGTCAGGCCGTCCCCAGGGAGACCGCTCGAGGGTATAGGGGTCACGTGGCACCCCCTTCCCGTCCCATTGAAGATGGCCCCGGTACATGGGGTCACGTGGTTCCCGTCCTAATGCACACCGCAGAGGTGGAGCGTCAAGTGGTCTCCCCCCTCCCACCAAAAACCAGACCCCCACGAAGGCCGCTCAGAAAATAAGGGTTACGCCCTTAACAACACGGCCTCTCGCAAACAGAGACCGCCCGGTTACGGAAGGGGCGGGGCTAAGACAAGACTCCGCCCACCGACTGCGTCGGCACCCCTGGAGCTGCAAGACGTCACTCCCGAACCCACGCAACGGCCCGCACCGCGGCGTCTCCATGGAAACCCCTGCCCCCACGGACAGGGGGAACGAGGTCACGCGACGACCCCGCCCACAAACCGCAACGCAACCTTCCGGGGGAAGGGGAAGGACACGTGACTCTAGGACCGGGGTGAAGACTCCACCCCCTACAATCCCAGAAATCACTGCGGACCGCCCAGATGAGAAGTGGGGGCACGTGTACACCCAGACCATTCCGGTCCCCCGCCCTGGAGGAGGAATGAAACGTCAGCCTTCCGGCTCCTCTGATGCTGCCTGACCTGCTGTGTTCATCCAGCTCCACGCCTTGTTATCT